GCAGGTCGCTTCGATTTGATCAGGCGCAAGGGCGCGGGACTTTGTACTTTAATGGGGCAGCTTGCGCTTTGTTAGAAAGCCATTGCGAGAGCTGGCAAATAAGAGGTGCGTTTTGTGGCAGACAGGTCGCACAGCATGCAACGCTCCAACTTGGATGGATGGCAGATGCCAGCAAGCTCCCTAAAATGCTCCCTGCCTCCCACGCCGCACTTCATCCAAACTGCCCTACAGCCATTTCGCCAGAGCCACCGGACCAAAGTAATCACCTGGAGCGAGAGGCCCGCCTTTCTGGAGCCGTTGGATGTGGACGAGCACGGCGGCCAAGCTGTTGTGTGAACTGTGACTTGAACAGTTTCGGGCAGGAACCGCCAGCACTGGCAAATTGCAACGGTGGGCGACTGAGGCCCGCAAGCATCGAGGCCATGTGCGAGAAGATGAAGCCCTTCCAGAACTTCAGGCCTTTGGGTGGTCATCGCAATTGTGGCATTCCGTTTGTTTCAAAAAGGATAGGGGCGCGAAGGCTAGTGAGACCTCCAGAAGGGACAGCCGTCCCCGCCGAAAGCCCCACAGAGTGCCATACCTGCTGGATTTTTACGCGCATGGCAGGGAAAGGTTTTGTTGTGCCTAGCCCTGGGGGCTAACCCTGGCAGGTGGTTGGTTGGTTGGTTGGTTGGTTGGTCGGAGGCTCGGTGGGACAATTTTTTTGGGATGGGTTCAGGGTGGGTTTAGGATAGCTTGGGGTAGTCCATTTGGGATAGGTTCAGGCCCGGCATCGTTTTAACACCCTTAGCCTCATTTTCAACAATCTCAGCATCACCTGGTAATGGTTTAGGCTGGATTTAGGGTGGGTTCTAGTCTATCCGTTAGTGTCTCCTTTAGTGCACGCCACAGGCTGTGCAAGGGTTAGGCTAATGCCAGGGCTATGCCCAAAAACAAAAAACACACCTGAGCCCGCATGGCAGCAACAGCACACTCTTGGTCCACGTAAAAAAAATCAAGCAACTTGTCCTGCTTTCCCATGTCCATGTGCAAAGCGTTTGTGGTTGAGCCCTTGCAATATGTCATTTTAAGCATGCGCCCATCCTTCATCCACATAGGCCAACCGGGGTCCATTCGTGAGCATGGTATGGAGAAAGGTCACATTCAGCATACAGCTTTTGAGATGCCATCCTTGCAGGCTGAAAACACCATCGCTGAGCGTGAGGATAGGCTTGAAGACGGCGCCGGATGCTCTCCTCGGCCTGGACCTGAGAAGAAACCATGAAGAAATCATATGAGCCACAATCAAAACCTGGATAGATGAAGGTTAGTAAGGGACAATCCCAACCATAAATAGCTGCGGCCGCCTTCTTGATTCTTTACATGGTTCTGGGTCGACCATTTTAGTACCAGGTTTTGATTATGACTCATATGAGCAGCGTCATAGGTGTGTTTTATAGAATCGTCCGAGAGGATTCAGCCAGTTTCTCTTTGCTCTCGGCCGTGTCAGTCCTTTTTGAATCTGATTCTGCCAGAAAAGTGTAGAAACAGAAAGGCCCTTTGGTCGTTTGTTTGCATAGCTTGGCCATGGACCCAGGTGTGTATTTCTGTTGGGTCGGTTTTTCGGTGTTGAGTGAGGGGAAAGGAACAGGACACTGGTGCGTCGTCAGCCTTGCCCCATGTGCCAGCTGGCTAGCAGGATTGCTGGATGAGCCACAGCCCGATCATTTTCCACTCCACGCGTCTTTCGGCGAGCTTCAGGCACAGCCTGAGAGAGCAAGCATGCGAGAAGCACCCAACGCCGGAACACTGGAACAGACGCCAGTTTTGAAAGAGATGCTCCGCAAGTAAGTGCACAGTGGCAAATACCAGGCAACTAGGTTCTCCACATCATGCATCCTTTGTTGAGGATGATGCTCACAAAGGCATGCAAGTGCTCGCCTGGCTTCAAGCCTTGTAGACTTCGGCATGCTCGTTTTGTGAGCCCTCCGAAACCGAAAAAAAAAATCAAAAAAAAACAGAGACCCTTCGTGAGGCACATCGCCGGAGTGTCGCGAGCGGGCTTTGCCCCGCAGCCGTTTTGGCCGAGAGCAGCCGTCCCGCGGTTTTTTGTTCCGCCTCGAGGGCCATGACAGCGGTACCGGACCAGGGGGTCTTTGCATCCCCAAAGGCCGTGGCGGCCCAGGGCAAGGAGACGGCGGTCTCGCTTGCTTCAAAGACCTAGGATCGGAAAAACGGATGACATGGGATTGGACCATTGCCAAGCATGGCCACCATAGGATCAGATCATGTAAGTCAGGAATGCCCAAGGGTCGTGTCACTTCTTGTGTCTTGCGTCTGAGCTGAAATTTCGGCGCGAGGAGGATTTGCTGCGACTCACCTGGACCACTACCACGGGCTCCTCTTACCAGGGCCGGCAGATCACCGATCTCCCCACCGAGAGCTTCCAAGAAGTCTTCGAAGTTGGCCAGCGCCGCACCAGGTATATGGGGATTCCACCAAAAACGGCACCATTGCTGAATCGCTCCTCCTGCCTCTACACAATGGAGTTTGCCAAGAAGCCTCTGGGTGACTATGCCTCTGGGACACGTGATGAGTGCCTTTTCGTTTGTGCTTGAGCTTTGCTTCGCCACAAGTCTGATTTCCAAAAAGCAACGAAGAACCCCGAAACCTCGGTTGCAGCGCAGGTCATGAACGCGCAGATGGCCAAGCATTTCAAGTCCGGCAGCTCCATGATCGACAGCAAGTCGCTGCCCAGCCTGCCAGCGCCACTGAGCACCTATGGCCAAGAGATTTGCCTCAATCTCAGCCCTGAAGAGATGGCAGGGGCGAGGCTGCCATCCACCAAGAAGCTGACCTCCGCCATTGGGCCCGGCGGCCTTAGGTGGGCCAAAATTCGAAGGGTCTAAAGCAGCTGTCCGTTTCGCGAATTGACCCACTAGGCATGATGGTAAGCAGGTGAAGTAGCGTGCGTTGGGTGCAGGTCTGTTTATACCACGTCGCTGGCCCACGACACCTACCTGGCACATCCTACTATTGGGTCGACTGGCGACCTTCGTCCTAAGGACTGCATTCAGAAGCTTGGCCCGAGCCCGACGGAGAATTCCACCTACAGGGCCGATTTCACCAGAGCGCAGACAGTGCACGGAAGCCGACGGGAGCAGAGGAGGCAAAAGCACTGCACATGAAATCGGAGGCATGGCCAAAGTGCCAACGTGCCATGGGACAGGGCAGTCAATGTCAAGGGAGCATGTTTAGAGTTAGATGGCGGCCTGCTCCTTGTATGCCATCGCAGTAAGCAAGGCGTGTGATGATGTATATGCACATCGCTTCCTCAGTTTTACTGCGCCCGTTGATGGGGCTCTCCAAAGGAGGCACCCATGTAGGCGATGTAACAATGTTATTCTATCAGCCATCGGCACATGTGCATCTTAGATGAGACTGCCGCGAAAAGCAGTGCTGCGCTTGCAGGATCCTCAACCTCGAAGTTCCACCGATATTCACGGACAGGTGCGCACATCAGCTTTCCTTGAAGCACCCTTCGAAAGTGGTCGGTATTCAAGAGATCCTCCCGTAACTCATGCCCGAAGGTTTCCCAGTTTTAAAATTCCCCCAGCAATGTGGCCATGGGTCACAAGCCCGTACCCCCAGTGAACATCCCAATCCCCAAAAAATAGGCACTAAAATGGGTGGCGAATTCACCTACTTGAGAATGGTATCCCATAGGTTTTGACAACCACAACCATTGGGCCATGTCTCTCAACCGGGGAGAGGATATGCGCAGGTGGGCATCTCCGTCCAGAGCGCGCGCTCGGGCGCTTGGTTGGCGCCGGTGGCCAAGCTGATGGCCGCCCCAGGGGAGTTGGTGCAGAAGCTGCTGAGGTGCAAGGCGCGGTGCAAGAATCAACACGAACCAACCAGTCGGCAGCACAGGTGTCCTTTTGGGGTCGATTTGGTCGAAAAATAGAGGGTGATTCCTGGTTTGCTTGGTGGTTCATGGTGGTTCAATCAACTACCAGGGCCATTTGTTTTTTTTTTCAAAAAGGACACCTAAGGTCGGCAGCCGAAGGCGGATGTTGAAGTATGAAAAAAAACAGGCTGAATTCCCACCTTTTGAGGTGGAGTTCGGTGTATGGACAAAATCCCGCACCTTTGGATACCGGGATAAACCACAGAATTACCAATTGGTGCAGGAGTTTGTCCATCTACTGTATGGGTCCCAAAGTGGCTGGACTTTCCCTTTGGTCTCCCTCAAACAGCAGCTCCAACACTCACAACTGATACCCGCACAAGGGTGTCTTGTTAAGTTGTCGCTTGTTTTTGGTTGATTTCAAAGGGGGAACCATTTTCGGGTGGGGTCTTTGATCCAGAGACAAGACAAACCCATGTGTGGGTTCTGCACATTGGATAGCGGCTGCTCAATCTGGGATTCGGTTTCCAGTGTGGAATTTAAGGAACCGCAAAAGACAAGCGCCCAGAAATTCCCTAACCCAGGGGCTCATCGGATGTCAGATTCTAGCCATCCATGAAGGGTCCCCTCATGGGTGCCACAAACGTGCAACAAGCTCGTGAAGTGCATTGCTGGGCCAGCCAGGGGCCACCCACCAATCACAGAGGGTCTGCAAGGACTATGTGCGAAGTGCCCGAACTGTGCGCAGGCCAGCTCGACAACAACGCATGCCAAGGGCTCAAGAGCTTGCCACAGGGTCAGTTCCCACCTGCTGGCTGCATGGGGAGGGCGTACTCCTTTGTGTTTTTGTTGATCCCGCTATGGCAGGTGCACCCGGCAAGGGTTAAGAATAAGGGAGAGTGCTCGTGAAGGCGAGCCACTAGAATGCTGAAAGCTAAACAAACACAGTGAAGAGAAATGCATGCTGCGCTTTGGGGCCAAGGCGTTGGACTTCGCGGCAGCTCGGCCGAATGTTCCTTCTGTCCTGGCATTGCCCTTCATGCTAGCCGTGTAATGATGTAGTGCTTCTCTACTGTCATGTTATACTGGGTGACCTGGCAATTTTGAAATCAACCAACCACGTCTTGAGGCTTATCGTTTGCCTAGTTTCATCCTGGCGACGTCAAACAACTTGGATCACTGTTACTGCGAAAAGACCTCCGCGAAGAAAGACCAACAAGTGGATCGAATAACACCAGACCTGCATGCACGCGTCAGTGTCAGAACTCAGAACGCTAGCGCTCAGGCTGCCAAGGTGAATGTGAGCCGGCCTGCCCGCGACACAGCATGGGACAGCCAGGAGGGAGGGTCGACATGGAATGAGCTTTGCTGAGCTTCTCACAAACAATCCGCTGTCATTTTTGTGGGCCCCTGCTCTCCCACCCCCAGGCCGATTTGCCCGTTTCTCATTTGTTGTTTTTTGTGTGAGGGGCAGTGGGGCCCGCTCTGCCGCTCAGCATGCTTTGCAAAACCCACCAGCTGTTCTGTCCAGAGGGCCTACCGCCAAGCTTATGGCCACGCACCCCTGTGTGAAGCTCTCGTGCCTTGGAGCCTTCAGCACGATGACGCCCTTTCCACCAGAGTCTCTCAAGAGTGTGTGGTGCACGAAGTTAGCAGTGTTGACTGCACCACGTGCCTTGCGCGTTTTGCGGTGCAAGCATGCCGTTTGCAATACGAATCCCGTGTGAAGTGGGCAGGCTGTGCACTACTTCATAATTACATTCATGCCAATGTCAAAAAGCAAGAAATGCGATTTCACCCGTTGAGAATGCGATCGCTTCATGTTGAGTAACACTAATTGCCTGCCTCCAAGGACATCGGCCGAGCCATTGCGGCAACAAAGGGTCCGAGCAGTTCCATCAGGCGGGGCCTATCAAAAAGCACTTGCTGGTGCTCAGCAGGGGATGACGGAATGACCCTAATAAACCGTCCCTTGTGGTTTCCTTCAAGGGGACCCCTCATTCCCTAGTGAGCACACGCAAGAAAAGGTTTTTTGCCAGTCAAGGCTTGAGGATGGCACAGAATAAAACATGCAGCCGCTTGTTGTCCAATCAATTGACTGGCAGGATGGTCTTCGAGCGTCAGTCGGACTGGGCGAGCGCCATGTAACATCAACGCATCAGACAGCATCCTGTAGTTGTTTTGCATTTTTGTGGCCAGCTGGGAAGGGAACATGTAAGACTATGACCTGCACATTTTGTACAGATTGCACGCGACCGAGCTGCAGGCATGCACCCCCAAACGTGGCGAGACATTGTAATTTTCGCGTTTGGGCAAGATCAGACCGCGGCCAAAAGCCATCAACAGGAGCAGGAGGTTGGCCGGGATCCGCAGGCTCGTGACGCAGCATGGTTGATGCTTGGCCAGGAGAAATGTGGCCATAGCTGTTGGTGAAATGTTAGCGGTATTCGATGCAGCTCGATTTTGATTGCTTGAGCCGGAAAGCCCCTGGCTGCGTAGTTTGGCTACGCTTTGGCCCTTGGTGACCTTGGTGGTGTAATTTCTGACTCGATGTTCGGTCTGTCAAGCATCATTTTGCGCCAGGCAAAATCTGCCCGGGTGTCAGGCCCGGACCTTGACACAGGAAGCGACTCATGTGGCGCCGTTGGGCACAGAACAGACCTCTAAGCAATTCATTGAGCCAGGAAAAATGTGGAATACGTCCCGCGGCATGGCATGTTGCCAACTTTCATGTTGGTGACGCGTGGGTGAAGGGATGGCTCGAATGCACCACAGTCTCTCAGGAGAAATCTGCCCACAATCCAGTAATGACATGTACAGACATGTGGATGGCTGGATTGGCCGAAAAACCGCAGGATTGCCAATTGAGTCAGCAAGCCCGTTTGCCTACGCAGCGGCGGCTCTTGCCACACTTGAACAAGGTTGGACTGTAGGCGGACAAGGGTGCCTAAGTGATTCCAGCAACCAAAGAGCAGCGCAAGTGATCTCATGTGCGCATAGCGCCAACACTTCATCCCAAAATGTTTGATGCATTGTTCCGCATTCAAGTCAGGTTCAATGAATATTGCTGATTCGTCTTTGCGCAAGGGGGCGCAGTTGTCACACTTTGGTTTGCGCGCTTAGAATTGAGCGCAATGCGCCGCCTTTCAGCTTTTCGGGTTGGTGTGCTGGCGCTGCTGGTCCTCAGCAACACTGGCCTTAGCTGCCTCACTGGCAGCTTGCAGGCGCTGGGGCGTGCAGTGGCGCCTAAGAAGCAAGACGCTCAGGCCTGGGTGTCCCATGCTTCGATCAAACAAAAATACGTCGGTCAGTTGGGGCAGAACATGGGGCATTTCCTTAAAACCATAAACTTCCTTCACGGCCACACAGCAATTAAGCGCACAATTATGCAGCCTGTAATGACATGGCAGATGGTTTTACAGCCAGCTCGCAAGCTATGAGAGTGTTGACCCCCCATTAGAAAAATCAACAGTTTAGTGATGGGCTTGGAGGCCCCTCCAAAAGCGGTCTGATTCCCCACTCACCCCAAAAATGCCTCCCTAGCAATCAACTGGGGTTGACGCTTGCGCGAGGCGAAGGAGGCGCTGCTGCGGAGCCTGCGTTCCGCGGCGGCGGAGGCCACGGAGAGCCTGCCGCTGCAGGGCCTGCAGGCCCCTGGTGCCACGAAATTCATTCGGGTGATTGTTAGGTTCGTTGGGTTTTGTATGGTGTTGTATTTTTGTTTTTTAACGGTTTTGTATGGTTTGGTGTGTGTGTGTGTGTGTGGTTGTGTGTTTGTGCGGTTGCGTGTTTTTGTGTGTTTGTGTGTTTGTGCGCTTGTGTGCTTGTGTGTTTGTGTGTTTGTGTGTTTGTTTGTTTGTTTGTTTGTTTGTTTGTTTGTTTGTTTGTTTGTTTGTTTGTTTGTTTGTTTGTTTGTTTGTGTGTTTGTGTGTCTGTGTGTTTGTGTGTCTGTGTCTCTGTGTGTCTGTGTCTCTGTGTCTCTGTGTCTCTGTGTCTCTGTGTCTCTGTGTCTCTGTGTCTCTGTGTCTCTGTGTCTCTGTGTCTCTGTGTCTCTGTGTCTCTGTGTCTCTGTGTCTCTGTGTCTGTGTGTCTGTGTATCTGTGTATCTGTGTGTTTGTGTGTTTGTGTGTTTGTTTGTTTGTGTGTTTGTGTGTTTGTGTGTTTGTTTGTTTGTTTGTTTGTTTGTTTGTTCGTTTGTTTGTTCGTTTGTTTGTGTGTTTGTGTGTCTGCGTCTCTGTGTCTCTGTGTCTCTGTGTCTCTGTGTCTCTGTGTGTCTCTGTGTGTCTCTGTGTCTCTGTGTCTCTCTGTGTCTCTCTGTGTCTCTCTGTGTCTCTCTGTGTCTCTCTGTGTCTCTCTGTGTCTCTCTGTGTCTCTCTGTGTCTCTCTGTGTCTCTCTGTGTCTCTCTGTGTCTCTCTGTGTCTCTCTGTGTCTCTCTGTGTCTCTCTGTGTCTCTCTGTGTCTCTCTGTGTCTCTCTGTGTCTCTCTGTGTGTGTCTCTCTGTGTCTCTCTGCGTCTCTGCGTCTCTGCGTCTCTCTGTGTCTCTGTGTCTCTGGGTCTCTGTGTCTGTGTCTCTGTGTGTCTCTGTGTGTGTCTCTCTGTGTGTGTTTTTGGATAGGGGGCTAACAATGGCTGCAATTGAGCCGGGTGTCTTGGGCAAATGTGGCTTGAACAAGCTTTGGGCGCTGCTCATGTTTGTCGATGGACCAATTCTTTTGGGGGGTATTTCATGACACCGCGGTGACATAGAAATGGAATCACAGGAGGGCGTCCCCTAGAAACCCGCTTGCTGCCTGGGCTTCCGGAATTGGGGACCCTCCGACTCGTGGGATGGCCCCAGGTGATTTTCACCCGCTCAGGTGTTTCCCTTCGGCTCCTCAGTGAATGGCTGCGGTGAGGGCGGCTCCGACGTGGACGTTGTCCTGTCATTTCTGCCGGTGGAGCCAGGGCAGCGTCAGGCGGAAAATGGTTCGACCTAGCCTGTTGCATGGCCCCAGCCCTACCAGCCATACATAGCTTAGCTTTGGCTGAAGGGTGCCACGCAAAACTCGCGTAGGGGGCCAACTGTCCTTTTACACATTACATGTTTTGGCTAGCTACAGCCAGGTGCCGCCCGTGGAGGTGCTGAAGCGGGTGGCCGTCAACTGCGAAAATCATAGCCTCCAAGTGGTGGAGAAGCGGTTTGCGGCCACAGTGCCGATCCTGGTGCTGGGCTTTGAGGCGAGGTTCAAACGTGCGATCTCCTAGGCCCATAAAACAGACAAGGGGTGGAGCTACCCCCAGACCCATGAGTACCTTTAGGATCAAGGGATTGCACTCTGAGGGAGCAAAACCCCAAGTGGTTTGTCCAAACCTACTCTTTTGTTTTGTGAGGGGGCGCGCGAAGGAACTTCACGGACATGCAAAGGTCACAGTGGGCTTTGAGCGCTGGCGGTTGTTTATAGGGGAGGGAGGTGAGCACTGCTTAGGTCGATGCTAGAGTTTATACCTGCGACATTTGCGTGTACAACTTGCTGCCCTTGTTCAACTCCAAGCTCTTGCGTGCCTATGCTGAGCTGGTGCCACAACTGCCGGTGCTGGTGGTGGCAGTGAAACGTTGGGCCAAGCACAACGGGCTTGCTAACACGTGGGAGAACTACATCTCGTCTTACAGCTGGACGCTGATGACCATCTTCTTCCTGCAGGTGCGGCACAAGGTGCCTTCCTTGCAGCGACTGTATGGGGCAGAAGCCGCAGGCAATCCGAACAGCAACTTCGCCTTTGACTTCCTGGATGCAGTTGAAGCCACCAAGGTCATCCAGAAAACAGGGCAAGCATCCGTGGAGCAGAGTTTAGGGGAGCTGTTTCAAGGCTTTTTCCGCTACTTCAGCGAAGATTTTGGGTGGGACTCTGAGGTTGTATCGGTCCGGCTGGGCAAGGCCCTCACCACAGACAGCCCGAAATTCAACCCCAAACTATTCAAGGTCTTCCAGCGTAAGCAGGGCACGCATACTGCCCTCCACTTGCTAAACATCGAGGACCCAATTGAAGTGCACCGAAACCTGAACTTTGCATTGACGGAAGCCCGCGCGCAAGAGATCATCGCTGCAGTGCGGGGTGCGCATGCGGCCCTGCAGCGGGGGGCATCTCTGCCGGAGCTGCTGGGCGATTTGCCGGCCGTCGATGCCGTCGATGCCGTCGATGCCGTCGATGCCATCGATGCCGATGCTCGAAGCCAATGGCTGGAGGGCTGTTTGGCTGTGCCCGAGCTTGGCTCCCAGCCCGGTAGGTGCCATCGCTGCCAGCGGCTCTTCCCCCGCTACCAGGACTTGATGGAGCACCAGATGCCACCCATGCGCTGCTCCTTCCCCTTCTTGTGCTCTTGTGGGAAGGGCTTTGCACGCAAGCAGGATTTGGAGTCACATGTGCAAGATGCACCTGGCACGCATGCTGAGAGGCGTGCCAGGTTTAAGCGGGGAATGTTGCGAAGGGGGCGAGAGGTTCTCGGCAAAAGAGGCTGCAATGTACCTGGGGAAGGGCGTGCTTACATCCAATGCTGCTTCAGATTTGGCAATGTTGTTCGAGTTGCCGCGCGAGACCGCTAGAGACTCTGATTGATGCGCTAAGGTTCACTGGTGGGGCTACTCGCTTGTTTGGATGCGCCTGCCCCGCACTTAGCTTCGCTAGAAGCGGAATCACAGCGGAACCAACAAAGGCCCGCATGCGTCCAGGGACTGGCAGATCAGATTGCACTGGTGAGCATAGACGTCAAACAAGTTCATTACGTCTTTGAGATAGCGTGACTGAGGCGCTGACTACAGCAGGGCTGTCCCAGACCTAGCACTTGCACAGGCATGCTTCCAATTCAAAATGCGGAGCGCTGGCGGCTCAGGCACTCCATGCCGGGTCGTACGCCTTAGGCAACACACCAACTTAAGACTTCACATGGCAACATGTCTGGACCTTCCCTGCCTCAGGACAACTCGACCCCTGCCGCAAAATTTGCGTCATTATCATCATCATCACCATTGCCCAAAGATTAAAAAGTGTTCGCGCAAGTCCCGCGCAAGTCGTGCGCAGCCCGCAGATGCCCCCAAACTGCTTGGAGCAGGAGTGGCCCATTTCTGTATGTTGCATTTCTTTTTCTGCAGATCCCAGCAATTTTGCCGAGTGAAGTTGTTAGCATAAATTTTGCAGCGGTGTATACACGTGAGACCTCATACCCTCAAGGGGGCATGCTATTGGGGGACCTCATGCTTATGAAGAGCGCCGCTTGGATTTGCAATGAAAACAACCTGGGATAAGAGTTTTGAGACGGGTTTGTTTTGTCCAGCTCATTTTTTGTTTTATTTAACATATGATCATCGTGTGGAACGCTTTTTAATTGTCACTTTTGTTCTTATGCTTGTTGACATGAAACGTGACCACGCTCCCTAGCCCCTTGCAGACTTAGAGGGTCCCTTTCGGCGTCAGGGAGTAGCCAACCCAAGCCGGGCGATCGCCGCGGGCGTTGGGCCGAGGTTCCTGGTCAAGCTGGGGAAGGCCTTTGCGCCGGAGATTTCCACCAGACGCTGCGAGACCTTGCAAGGCAAATGCCGGGGGGGGGGGGGAGAGAAGGGGGGGGGTGAAAATAGTCAGCCCGGGTTGGTCCTCAACAACCACCGTCAGTCGCCCTGAGTTGCGATTTCCCTTTTTGCGCATGCTGACATTCCCACCCGTGTGACCACATGCGACTGGCACAGTCGCCGCAGATCATGCACCAAGTTTGAAAGGGCTCAGCTTACGGGAGATTTAAATGTATAAGCTTGATGGAGCATATGAGCATCATGTTCTTTGTTACAGTCATGAACTCCATGTGGCGGTGTCATACATGCACACAACAGGTAGCCACGAGAAAATTACTTCGCTTCGAGCAATCCCCACCCTCCCCACTCACGAGCTTACGACTGTTACAACAAAGTCCTCCACATCCTAGAGTCGAAGTCTCCAAATTCCCGTCGGCTAGCTCAACAAGCTTTGCATTGAGAGCCTTGTCCACCTGTCTGTGTGTCAAACTCCACTTGTCTGCAAGCCGATCTCGAGAACTCAAACTTCGGTTCCGTTAACAGAAGCCAAGCCCCTTCCAAAAAGAAACCAGACAAAGGATTAAGCGAAGTTGCTTATTCGCAACCCAAAGCAACACAAAAGCATCCCCCTTTCCGAGCCTCAGGGTACACTCAGAACACGCAGGCACCAACATGAAATGTAAAGCCAACTGTGCGCCCGGGCGGCATTAAGCAAAACCAGACTGGCGAGCTGCTCTGGCGGACACTGGCAGGATCCACTGGCAAATGCTGGCTAGCCGCTCCGGCTTGATACTGGCCAGATACTCAGCAGGATCCACCGGCAAGGGTACTCAGCGGGATACTTGGCGGGATCCACTGGCGAGCTACTCTGGGATACTCGGCGGGATCCACTGGCGGGCTGCTCTGGTGGGGTACTCGGCGGGATCCACTCACAAGCTTCTCTGGCGGGATACTCGGCGGGATGTACTGGCGAGCTACTCTGGGATATTCAGTGGGATACTCGGCGGGATCCACTGGCGGGCTGCTCTGCTAGGGTACTCGGCGGGATCCACTCACAAGCTTCTCTGGCGGGATACTCGGCGAGATGCACTGGCGAGCTACTCTGGGACACTCAGTGGGATACTCGGCCGGATCCACTGGCGAGCCGCTCTGGCGGGATACTGGGCGGGATCCAGCAGCTCTGGCGGGATACTGGGCGGGATCCACTGGCCAGCCGCTCTGGCGGGATATTCGGCGGGATCCACTGGCGAGCCGCTCTGGCGGGATACTGGGCGGGATCCACTGGCGAGCCGCTCTGGCGGGATATTCGGCGGGATCCACTGGCGAGCCGCTCTGGCGGGATACTCGGCGGGATCCACTGGCCAGCCGCTCTGGCAGGATACTCGGCGGGATCCACTGGCGAGCCGCTCTGGCAGGATACTCGGTGGGATCCACAGGCGAGCCGCTCTGGCGGGATACTCGGCGGAATCCACTGGCGAGCCGCTCTGGCGGGAGACTGGGCGGGATTCGCTGGCGAGCTGTTCTGGCGGGAGACTGGGTGGGGGCGTGGTGTAGAAGCATCGCAAACGCGGATTCCAACATAAAATCTAAGAACCCCTTCCTGTCGGGTGGGGAAAAACAAACAGTCGAAGCAAAGAAATGGGTGCAACGAAAGGGACTCGAGCAAAAAGGATAGGGAACCAAAGGAATGGGGATTTATCACATCGAAATGAAGGGAACCAACTTGTTTGCCAGGCCTTGATGCGCTGAGGGCTTTGGCGCCCACCGGCCTGCAGATTCGCCTCGAGGATTTAGAGGCCGCTTGCTATGCTTTCACAGCTTGGGGGGGGCGGGGTGAAAAGCCCAAGCACGCTGATTGTTGCTTGCCAGTTTGCGCGTTTGCCTGGTGATGTTTGCGGGCATGTTTATTTTTTGTTCGGTTGTTTGTGGCTGCTTGTTTCGTTGGGTTGGGTTGGGCTGCGTTGCGTTGCGTTGCGTTGCGTTGCGTTGTTTGTTTCTTTGTTTGTTTTGCCCGATCCCAATGAGGAATAAACCCCTGAGTCTTTGCACCACCTGCCGCTTTCTGAAGCTTACCTCCCCCAACTTTGCCCCCCCCCCCCAAAAAAAAAACAACAACCAAAAAAAACACAACTCCATTTCGAGGCTGCAGTGCTGCCTTGTTGAGTTCCAACTTTGAAAACGCTTGCATGCTAAGTGCGCACAGGATAGGGTCAACCTTCCTCCTGGTCATTCCACGGATCTTCGGGGGCAGAGGGTTTGGAGCGGGATGACGGTGGCTCGGTCGCCCGCACCCTCAGGTAGAAGTGCCACTGCGGGGAGCTCGGATTGGGCCGCCTTATGAGGCATGGGGCGCCCAAAGAGCTTTGAGGGCCACCAAAAGAATGGAAATGAAATGGCTGCCGACAGTCATAGAAGCACATCATGGGGCTCTTCAAGCAGGGCCTCTTCACTGCAAACAATGGGGTTTAAAAGCTGCAATACTTGAACTTTCCGATGAACTTTATTTTTGGCTGGCCTTGATTTTCACTGGAGTGGCACTGGATTTTCACTGGAATGGCACCATATTTTCACTGGAATGGCGCTGGATTTTCACTGGGGTGGCACTGGATTTTCACTGGAATGGCACTGGAATGTCAGGAATTCCATGGGAGTTTTGGTGGTGGTTGCTGGCTTGACACTAGTATCACTTACCATTGGGGGGTTTCCTTACAGGGAACAGTGTTTTTTTGAAGCGGCCTTTGTCTATGATGTTGCCCACTGATAGAATTTGTGGCAACCACCACAAGTCCAACTTGGAGGGGCCTAACCCAGCAAAGGAATTGGTTCCGCAACAAGAAGGGATGCTGCCGCTGATAGGATTTGGGCATGCTCCCAACTCCCAACCTCATCATGCAGTGCGTCCCTGTGCATTTGCATTCACGCTTCCATGCTTGGCTTGCGCGCAGATGTGGCCAGTGCAAGATTGGAGCCACGGGCACGCCCAAGCTCAGGCCTGGCCTGCCTGTGCAGGGCCAGGGCGTGCGGCTCACCATCTCGGGCATGCAGGCGGCTGAAAAGATTCAAAGTTTGATGGGTGAGAGTTGTTGACTGTCAAACCAGGCTCCAGGCATCAGCTTCAGAAGTTGCCCCGTTCATGTGGTATCATTGCCAAGTTTTTTAAAACTGTGGACGGGATCTAAATCCAAGGTTGGGGCAGCTTTTGGGCCTTGCCTTTTTGCCTTCGTCACCAGGTGTCCAGTCTGGCAGCGCTGCAGTCCTTGGCTACCTCAGTACGGCGGATGGTTTCAGGGCGCTCTGAACCCCTTCGTCCCTCGTAGAATCTCGGGCTGGCCGATCGTGCCGGGCGCCCTTACAGGGCCTATGAAACAGTATGACACTATGACACATGTTCTCTTTCCATACCTTCGGATTACTGCCGAATGATAGATACCACAAGCAAAAACGACTCTGAAGCACCCACATGCAAGCACACGATCACACATTAATTCGGGTTTGATTGGTAGTGTGCTTCTCGCACACTAAGCAGCAAGAATGAGTGTCATATGCAATTTGTTTGGGAAGACTGCTTCACACAATGCCAGTTTCCCTCTAGTTTTCCACTAAAACAAGCCAAATAATGATGCGCCGTGGTTCATGATGCGACGGCGCATCCGACTGCGTGGGGTCAAAGTTTGCGTATTCGGCGTTCGCATCACTGACACCCAATGTGCAAAACGCCTTTGGGCGTCCCTTGGGCCATGGCAAGCAGAGCATCGGCTTATATCGGATACGACGGCCAACGAGGGCCGCATTTCGGAGGACGTGCACGCTCGAAGTCACAACTCCCTGGCGCGGGCGGCGCAGCCCGAGTTTTGCCAAGGCACCAAAGGTGCATGTGTTAGTGTTTCGAGCCTTTGGGCAGCCACGAGCCATCCCAACAGAGCAGCAACCCTGGAAATCGCCTTGGAACTGACCAGGATTGTCAAAACTGGTCATTACTTACTTGTCGGCTGGTGTCACTTCATGCTCCCGATATCCGAAACAGGGGTTTGACAAGGGATGTCTCATGATACGGCCTGGCAGTTGCATATTCGGGATGCAGTGACTGGGTTGGCTTTTGGCCACAGAGGCGTCCGTTCGCCTCGTCGTGGACGTCCCACTGGGAGCCGATCGGTTGAACAAGGTTCTCTAAAGCCGATTTTGTGACCTTGGCATTCGCACTTTGAACTTTGAGCCACGTGTTGCCCTTAGAGACGCCTCCATGTTTTTTCATCACAGGTTTTCCTCCTCCCCGGATGGCTCACTTGGGCCCTTGGGCCTAGTGTTGCGCTGTTGGTCCGTGCGTTTTGTTGGTCATGCCAGCCCAAGTAGCAGGCCGAAGGGCGGAAGGCGGAAGATAGGGGGGGCCTCGGTAACCACTGCGAAAATCTCAATTCGGAGAGGCATGCCTAAAACGAAGGCGGGCTAGCGGGGTCTTAGCATAACATTTGATTTACTGGTAGCAGGCGTCTTGGAAGTCATCCACCTCTTGCATGCCTTGAATTGAGCACTGCCGGTATCCTTTCCAAGGGGGCTCAAAGTGCACCGGCATAAGAATCAGAACCCATGCGCCTGTGCAGCTGACTCGGTGCTAGCCAAGAACACACTGGCGACAGCCAGCCTTGACCAAACCGCAATTTGCAACACTCAGCTGCAACACCCCCCCATGTTCATGTCCTGAAATGTCCTGAAGGATTGGTATTTGGTAAAGACTTTGCATGGGTGGATACATGTTCAGCAGTTCTAGTCCAGGGGAATGCTAGCAGTTTCGCTGCTTCACGCATGGCCGGCGACCCAGCGTTCAGCGCAGCCTGCCCCATGCGGTCACTCAACCCAATGGCGAACAAAGCCCTGATTTGCAGTCTCGCCTGGTCAGCCTGCCCATGATCAAAGCATGGCTGCAGGAAGACTGCAAATGCTCGCGCCTAGACTTCCCCCATGCTGTGCAGATCCAATGTGGGTTCAAGCTCGTGGTCGACCCTTGCTTCCCGACAGTGAAGCTTGACCTGGTCTTGACGAGTAGCTCAGTCGGCTTTCAGCGCAATTCCCCCTTCCAGTATTGAAGTAGGAGAGGCAGTACCCCGGCCCTCAGGAAAGGTTCTCAAAACCCCTTGGTCAGAAGGTCCGTTCCGAACGAATGGGCTTGGCCGAGGCATCATGGCCAGTGGCCAGATGGTGCCCAGCGATCGCACGCCGCGGCTTCAGATTCAATTAGGGTGAGGGACGGACGACGCGGGAGGAATCAGCCCTATCCTTTCTGGTTGAAATGTTGGCGATGAACTACACCCTTCATGGTTGGTGGACAAATCGCAATGATGTCGTCCATCAAAGATCAAAGGGTCCACTTGTCGATGAAAATTGCAATTCGTGTTTTTGCCCAATGATAGGCAGCATCAGATTAATGGCGGCGGTTCGAGGCAGCATGATGCCCCGGCCGCGAAAAATTACAAGTGACTGTGATGCGGTTGTGAGAGGCTTCGCCTTGGACTGGATCCTGGGTGTGTGGGAGGGCAGAGGGTCTGGCACTGGAGGCGAGGTCGGTGGAAGAAATCGCTGATTCAGTGTTGGTCAAATAGAATTGGCCTATTCTAATTTAGTATTGGGGGTGCCGAGTTTTAGAAAGGAAACTTTATAGCATGGGGACCTAAATTGTTCGAGGGGGCGTGTAGATTGTGCATGTTCATCGTTTTCTCACTGGGCAATTTATGCGGTATCTCGCGCTGGGTTGAGCGTGTCGCAAGGTTCGCTCCCACCAATGGCCAGTACGCCGCTGTTGGCCCTGCATGTGTTGATCCGGCTGCTCCAGGTTGGACGCCTTGGCTTTGGCTTACCGCCGAGTAGTTGGGTGTCATGACCTCCACGTCGTAAGTTGTCTTGCAAGTGGGTTTCAGCTCATAAGAGTCGGAGGTGCAGCGATATGCGGGATGCTGCCCAAGAATCTGCCAGGAGTACGCCTATCACAGCGTGCCGGCGAATCCAGGCATGAAGTGCAGCAGCCAAACATCCCACTATTGCTGACCATGCATACTGGAATGCTCAGGGTTGCCCCATGGTTGCACAATGAATTGATGTGAGCGTGCATCAATGCCTGGACTTGAAACTGTGGATTGGTAGCACGTGGGCTGCGAGGGGCTCATACATAGATATGCGCCTGCCTCTACTTGTTGAAAGAGATGCATACATACACACATAGTATACACATATATATATATATATATATGAGCCACGGACAAAACACACGAAGACCACTTTATCAAGGCGGGGTACGTTTTTGCATAACGCATGCCAAAACCATGGAAAAGCGATAAGGTCTCCCCCAAAAACGATAACCCTTAGCCAACACACGGCTCTATAATAACCCTTGCAGTTGCAACTTAGCTAGGGTGGGACCCTTGCGTGGCCACCGTAAAACGAGAAGGCGAGTCGCCACTTTCGAGCTGGAACTGCCAAGGTGTGCTTCGTAAACACGACACTTGTACTGAGAAGTTGCGATTTTCGAGGTGGAGCTGCGGAAGTGTACTTCGCGTACTAGACTTGTACTACAAAGTTGCGATTTTCGAGCTGGAGATGCGGAAGTGTACTTCGCGTACTCGACTTGTACTACAAAGTTTGGAATTTCGAGCTGGATGCGGAAGTGTACTTTACTAGACTTGTACTACAAAGTTGCGATTTTCGAGCTGGAGCTGCGGAAGTGTACTTCGCGTACTAGACTTGTACTACAAAGTTGCGATTTTCGAGCTGGAGCTGCGGAAGTGTACTTCGCGTACTAGACTTGTACTACAAAGTTGCGCGAGCTACTAGACTTGTACTACAAAGTTGCGATTTTCGAGCTGGAGATGCGGAAGTGTACTTCGCGTACTAGACTTGTACTACAAAGTTGCGATTTTCGAGCTGGAGATGCGGAAGTGTACTTCGCGTACTAGACTTGTACTACAAAGTTGCGATTTTCGAGCTGGAGCTGCGGAAGTGTACTTCGCGTACTAGACTTGTACTACAAAGTTGCGATTTTCGAGCTGGAGATGCGGAAGTGTACTTCGCGTACTAGACTTGTACTACAAAGTTGCGATTTTCGAGCTGGAGCTGCGGAAGTGTACTTCGCGTACTAGACTTGTACTACAAAGTTGCGATTTTCGAGCTGGAGATGCGGAAGTGTACTTCGCGTACTAGACTTGTACTACAAAGTTGCGATTTTCGAGCTGGAGCTGCGGAAGTGTACTTCGCGTACTAGACTTGTACTACAAAGTTGCGATTTTCGAGCTGGAGCTGCGGAAGTGTACTTCGCGTACTAGACTTGTACTACAAAGTTGCGATTTTCGAGCTGGAGCTGCGGAAGTGTACTTCGCGTACTAGACTTGTACTACAAAGTTGCGATTTTCGAGCTGGAGCTGCGGAAGTGTACTTCGCGTACTAGACTTGTACTACAAAGTTGCGATTTTCGAGCTGGAGCTGCGGAAATGTACTTCGTGTACTAGACTTGTACTACAAAGTTGCGATTTTCGAGCTGGAGCTGCGGCAGTGTACTTTGCGTACTAGACTTGTGCTACAAAGTTGTGATTTTCGAGCTAGAGATGCGGAGTTGTACTTCGCGTACTAGACTTGTACTACAAAGTTGCGATTTTCGAGCTGGAGCTGCGGAAGTGTACTTCGCGTACTAGACTTGTACTACAAAGTTGCGATTTTCGAGCTGGAGCTGCGGAAGTGTACTTCGTGTACTAGACTTGTACTACAAAGTTGCGATTTTCGAGCTGGAGATGCGGAAGTGTACTTCGCGTACTATACTTGTACTACAAAGTTGCGATTTTCGAGCTGGAGCTGCGGAAGTGTACTTCGTGTACTAGACTTGTTCTACAAAGTTGCGATTTTTGAGCTGGAGATGCGGAAGTGTACTTCGCGCACTATACTTGTACTACAAAGTTGCGATTTTCGAGCTGGAGCTGCGGAAGTGTACTTCGTGTACTAGACTTGTACTACAAAGTTGCGATTTTCGAGCCGGATCTGCCAAAGTTCGAAAACACTGTAAAACGATAAGGTCTCCCCCAAAAACGATAACGTTCAAAAAAGTACTAGGGCCAAGTAAAGTGTTTCGTCCGCTCCTCATATATATATATGCAGATATACGATGTGTGTGTGTGTGTGCGCGTGCGTATGCTTGAGCAACTGCTAAATGGCAAGACACGGATGATGGATGGTTTGCAGAAGCGCGCAACTATGTGATATAGCCTAATGAGACGACAGTACGTATTAGAACCAGGGCTTAGAATGCGCATATTATCCTGCAAGCACCGGCTTGGAATGCGAGAAGCGTAAAGCGGGCAGAGAGCCAAACCCAGACCAGTGAACATACTAAATTGCACCCAGATTCCTATTTTCTGCTTGCAGGTGACTCAGTGGCAGTAGCTGCTGAAGCCTCAGGCGTGCACCGCATCCAGCAACGCAGAGTGCGTGTTTCGGTCGTTTTGTTACCACGCGTGGCTTTAAACCAGAAACGCCTCCGGAGTTAAGCCCCCAAAGCCTTTTGACGCGCCTTGACGGCAGCCGGGAAGGGATCAAGCTGAGAATGGCGACGCCCGTGTTCGAGCCAGACACGGGCATCACTTGGCTCCAGACCAGCGACACGGTTACTATCACGGTGCCTTCAGATGCCAAGCCTGAGGTAAAGATAGATGGCAAGCATTTGCTGGTGACTGGACGTGAAGGCATCCTTCTGGACAAGGACCTCGGAGGTGATGTTTGCGTCGAGGACAGCACCTGGACTTTCGCTGATGGCTTCTTGTCCGTGGAGTTGTCCAAGAAGGGCTCTTGGTGGCCCATGGCAGTGGTGGGGGGCCAGACCGGGCCCGAGGATCCCCAGAAGCCCAAAGGTCCGGAGATGCAGAAGCTGGAGTCTAAGATCGGAGAGCAGGTGGTGGGCAAGAAGGACTTCGAGGGCAAGAGCAAGTTCCAATGGTAAGATGACATTTGTGCCACAGAACCAATGACAAAGTGACGAACACCAGCTTGGCAGCATCTGGCATCGGCCAATGCGGACCGCAACGGCAAAGACAGCCAACGGTCACGGTGTACGGCGGGAACTAGAGTCAGCTGCGCCCCCGAGCGACTGAGCTGAGCAGGCTTCTACAAACAGAAAATCAGGAGCTCGCAGCCGGGAAAAACAGATTGACCGATCTTGATCGTTCATGCACCCTTGCCATATCTTGCCAGTAAGCCCAACAGCCCCGTGTCTGCGCCCTAAGGTCGAGCAAGATGCCAGCCAAGTTCCGCAAGGCAGAGCTGCCGGACACTCAGCCCACGGTGTTGAGGTCTATGAGCACTGGAGCGTCAGTTCCCGAAAGCATGGCGAAGGGCCCTTCAACAAGCGGCACCGCTCTCTTGCCAACCTGCACAGCTCACAGACACGGTGCGGTGCGTTCGAACGGATATCATAGACTGATCACTTTGCATCGATATTTTTTCCCAATGTAATCTGACACAGACCAAGTTGAACAGAGATTACCTTCAACCCAAAACGCTCGGTGCAGCGCTAAGGCTTTCATACACTTCTTGGACGGAGTGTTCTTGAGAAGTGGAATCGGAGCATATCAGCAACCATGACACTTATATAGACCCAGAGCATCTTGGACAAGGCCTCCTCCAACTATATATGGGAAGCTTGCATAGAGCATAAGGCTTATCCAGAACATCTTGCACAGACCTGCCTGTATGGAAATCATATCTTGCGCATAGTGATTCACGTACACATAAAATCAAAGAGGCACGTCTCTGCAAGGGGAGTTTGAGAAAGTGCGCAGGGAGGCTGGTGCAGAGGGATCGCGCAGGCAAAACATGCGCAGAGGAATTACACAGTGTGCACAAGGATAGGGCACAAGAATTGAGCAGAGAGAGTGCACAGCAAGAGTTTGCAGAGCGATCGTGAAGAGAGATCGTGCGGACAGATTTTGCATGAAGAAAGATTCAGTCAGAAACGCTGCCGCACTTGCAGATTGCAGAGTTCCTGCTTGCACAAACAGTTTGCGTGCGCAGATCATGCTCAAAAGGCCTACGTTCTGCAGGAAATGCTTGCGCCTATGTCCTTGCGTATGTTTTAGTTGCGCACAGCTTGCGCAAAGACTGTGCTTGCCAAGGCTACTTTGGCACACTGATTTAGGCAGCTTGGGCATAGTCATGCCCTTGTATGCCCTTGTCTAGGGTTTAGCTCCCCGCCCCTTTACAGACCAAAATTTGCTCCCCAACAAAAAGGCTGGCCCCACAGGGATTGATGTGTTTCCATGCCACGTGCACTGTTACAAGCTTGGGCGCGGAGGGAACCACCAAATCACATGTGTCTCGTGGAAACAGCTGTATGCCGCAGTCATGCCAGCGTCAGCCGGTGGCACGGGTGGTGACTGGACAAATCTCGCAACACGCGTCGAGGTTGGCGATTGCCAAGCCGGCCTGGCTCGCTTCAATGGGAGTTCTGAGATCCTGAGGTTGGCAGAAACGCAGATTAGGCTTTGAAGATGTGGAAATGGCGAAATCCGGTCATGCCAAATGCCTTGTGTTTTTTTGGCGGCTTTGTCTACAAATCAGTCCCGCAAAGAAGGTGGGCCATGTGCCCAACTTGCACTCCGCGCTTCTCCTATGAAGATCATTTGGGCGGACACTTCCTGTGACGGCAGTCTGGTAGCTTTCTTTTGCACAATGCTCAGGTACGTCTCAAGACCTCACCTAGTTAATTGATGTCAAAACACCCAGACGGCCGCAAGTGAAAATTGTCCTGCGTTGAACTGCACCTGCGAGCTGATCCAGGCGCTTTGCTCGATGCTTTGCAACTGGCCCTGACCTGAGTCGGCATGTTGACTGACCCGCCTGTCTAGCCTGGTCGCTTTAGCAGTTGCCAATAAAGGCGGGGGACCCCTTTCATAATGTATGCCCCAGTGGGGGGGGGGGGAATGTATTTAATACATTTTCCACGTTTGCCGCCCCAAGAGTCTTAAGCGCTTTGCCAAGGCTGAGAACCTAAGAAAGCAATATACAGTCACAGCCTTTTGGAAGGTAGGCGCAATTGTAGGTAGACAGAAGCAAATGGTTGCAAATGGACCTGGAAAGGTCCGCGAGTTTGCGGCTCAGTGTTGGAATGCTTTCAAATTAGGTGTTGCGCGATTCTAGAGGCCCATGTGCCAGCAATCCGCATCACGCATTCCGGCAGCAGCCCGAGAACGGGCTTTGCCAAAAACATGTCCTAGAACTCGTACGGAGTGTTGAAGTGGGCATGTAGTACGGCATGTAGCTGAGCAAGCTCCATCTTGTGCTGCCAGGGCCTGATGGAGGCGATGGTGTCCGATTCCTTGATTGTGAGACTCTTCTGCTGCTCAACAGGCGCTGATTTTTGCGCGGACCACGTGGACAAAGCTCAGGGACATATCCGCCAACTTTGTCAAGGTTGCTTCAAGTGGCTGGCCCTGGCCTACTTCAACACCCACTACAATTGTCTCTCCAATTAGGCCCCCCCCCACCGGCGTTCAACAGCTCTAGCTCCTGCATCGCACACGTGTAAAAGCACGCGCCTCCGAGAGGGCCCAAGATTTGAAAGTGTGATGAGGGTCAAACTTCCAGCTCGCTTCGAAGTCAACACTGGGATTGCTTCGGGGGAAGCACTGCGCGCCTTGTTTGGAAGCTTGTCAGTCTTGCTGACGCCACCGTCTTCTGGGGCATCGTGTCGCTCACCTCGGTCTCTTCTTTGAGAAGTAAGTGCCAAGAAGTCAGCTGTACAGATGCGGACCCTATCTACTTGCTAAGTGGTTTACGACCGCCGCTCGTATAGGGCTTGCTGCATTTTGCTTTGAGTAGGGCCGCCCTGAAGACAAAGTACGTGTTTTCACTGCTTTCAAGTGACGCTGAAGCAACGCACTGCCGGATATGAGCCCTAGGAAGCATTCGTTCGAAAGAGTAGTGGTGTTTAGTTTCCTAGCTCAAGCAAGCGCATCGTCGCAGCGCCATGCTGAAGGGCACGAGCTTTGCGCCGTAAGCGAGGCGCAACAGAACTCAGCTGGGCCCCTGCGATCACTTCCTGCTCCGGCCAAGGTTCAAGTCGATCCACACCACCCCGTGGCGATCGTCGGTTCTGAGATACATGGAGCCCTCACTAAGCATGCAAAATCCTAGCAAACAAGCTGGTTTACCCAGAGCAATCGGAGCAATGCGTTGCTATCCACTACGTCAGACCGATAGCCGCAGGCTTTCGAAAATTCCAGCAGGGGAGTGCTGACGAGAAAGCCTGTGCGGGAGAGAGCTAGCTGATTGAGCAGCCCCAGCGTTTCCCACATCATTGCAAGCGGGGCCGAGCTGCGATTTAGATACATTCGTTGCAAAGAAGGCCGCCGGCATCGCGAGGAACTAGCTGAAATGGAAGGGCGACGAGTGTCGGATTCGTTGCTGTCCGGATCACAGAGGTGTGAGAAGTCGGGATCACAGAGGTGTGAGAACATCGAACCGGGGCAGGGGTGCCTCTAAATATTTTGAGCAGAGCAAACAGATAGCAAGCAGCGCGCCTTAGCGTATGCACTCATTGTGCTCCAGGGATTCGCGAGGCTGTTGATGCCAGTGTGTGGATCGAGTCCGCGCGACAAATTTGCTAATTCGTCAGAGCGAAAATCAGCTAGACTTCATTGCTGGTAATGCGAATTAGCTAATTCGACAGAGCGAATATCATCTAGACTTCATGCTGGTGATGCTGGCGATGCCGGTGATGCACTCCGTAGATCAAGGCGACGGGTGTCCGTGCGACGAATTTGCTAATTCGTCAGAGCGAAAATCAGCTAGACTTCATTGCTGGTAATGCGAATTAGCTTTACTTCGCCAGAGCGAATCTCAGCGTCTCAGCTAGACTTTATTGCTGGTAATGCTGGTGATGCTGGCGATGCCGGTGATGCACTCCGTAGATCGAGGCGACGGGTGTCCGTGCGACGAATTTGCTAATTCGTCAGAGCGAAAATCAGCTAGACGTCATTGCTGGTAATGCTGGCGATGCCGGTGACGCACTCCGAAGATGAAGGCGACACGGCGACAGGTGTCCGTGCGACGAATTAGCTAATTCGTCAGAGCGAGAATCAGCTAGGCGTCATTGCTGGTGAAGCTGGCGAGGCCAGTGATGCCGTCTGTAGATCGAAATGACGGGCATCCGTGCGACGAATCAAGTAATTCGACAGAGCAAATACGCTGCTTGGTGTAGGTATCAGATGCTGCCACTGCGCCGCTCCCACGAGTCCTGGAATGCCTTGGCTAGTTCCCAGCCCCAAGCGTTTTCAGGGGTCACTTGTTCTTACGCCCGGCGGGCATAAGAACAAGTGGGGGCCAACCGGAACAAGTGACCTGGTCACTTGTTCGCTAAAGTGCCTACTTGTTCTTAAGCCCGCCGGGCGTAAGAACAAGTGACCCCTGACGCAACAATGGCTTTAGCCGCGAAAAAAAGGCAGCCACTGACAAAACACAAATTAGAAACTCTATTGCAGAACGCCCAAATCACAAAAAATGCAGCCCGACCAAGCACGCCAGTGACAGGCCCAGGAAAAACTGTACAACAAATTGGCACCCACACACAACAACCAAATTAGAAGCCCTAGTTGAAAAAGCCCACTTCACGAGAATCATCAGCCAGACCAGTAGCCAGTGCCAGGCCTTGAAAAAATCCAGCTGCACAAAATGCACGGCGAACAAAATAGAATCTTTACATAAAAACCAACTTCACGAAAATCATCAGCCCGACAAGTAGTCCTTTGTAGCCACCTGTGTAGGTTTACATTTCAGCGCCCGGTCGCAAAGGAAACTGTGCGTGCTGTCGCGCCCCGACCCTGCCAGCAGTCGGGCCCCGACCCCGCCAACAGTCGGGCCCCGACCCCGCCAGCAGTCGGGCCCCGACCCCGCCAGCCGACCTTTTCCTGAAGCAGGATGTTTTGAGTAGCACTTCTAATTTGCATGTTGTCTGTGTTACCGCCTTTCTTTGTCCAGCTGGATATTTGTCAGGGCCTGTCACTGGCCTACTTGTTGGGCTGATGATTTTCGTGAAGTTGGTTTTTTCTCCAACAGCTGAAAGCTTTGGGGTCTCAGCCCAGATAGGCTCCGGGGTGGTCCCGGACGGCCCTGAGGTGAGGTCCAATGACGTTCCGTCAGGGTTCCACGAGGTTTTGTGAGGGGTGCGGGGTGGTGCGCGCACTAAAAAGAGCACCGCATGCTGTTGGGGATGTCACCTGAGCTTATTTTTTCAGGTAGAGCGACTGTTTTGAATTTGTTCACCGTTTATTTTTGGCAGCTGGATTGTTTTCAGGGCCTGGCACTGGCCTACTTGTCTGGCTGATGATTCTCGTGAAGTGGGAGTTTTTAGCAGAGCTTCTAATTAGTTTTTTGTGTGGGGTTGCCGCCCTTTTTTTTGCGTAGCTGGATTTTTGTCAGGGCCTGTCACTGGCCATCAAAAAACAAGACACGTTTCAATCATGTTCCTTAGTCTCCTGCTCCCGTGCTCTTCTGGTCTCTTGTTTTTTTGCAAGTGGGATGTCTTCGCCGGGCTTCTGGTTTGTTGTGTGGCTGCCGCCCTTTTTTGCGCGGCTTGATTTTTTACAGGGCTGTCACTGGGCTGCTTGGTCGGGCTGCTGCTTTTCGTCAAGGTAGAGCTTCTAATTCGCTTGTGTGTGGCTGCCTTTCTTTTGTGCAGATTGATGTTGTTCAGGGCCTGTGGTCGGGCCCCAACTCCGTCGGCGGTCGGGCCCCGACCCCGCCGGCGGTCGGGCCCCGACCGCGTCGCCGGTCGGGCCCCGACCCCGTCGCCGGTCGGGCCCCGACCCTGCCGGCGGTCGGGCCCCGACCCCGTCGCCGGTCGGGCCATGACCCCCTCGGCGGTCGCCCCTTCAATGGTTCTAATTTGCTTTGTAGCTGCCGCCGTGTTTTTGCAGCTAGCTTTTGTTTGGGGCCTGTCACTGGCCCGGGCTGATGCTTTTCGTGAAATGTGATGCTTTTAGTAGGGCTTCCAATTTGCTTGTTGTGTGTGGCTGCCTTTTTTGCGAAGTTGTTTTTCAGGGCCTGCTAGTTGTTTGCTTGGTCGGGCCTGCTGCTCTTCGTCAAGTGGGTGGGGCTTCTGGATTTTTTGTGCGCGGCTTGTTTTCAGGTCCTGTCACTGGTCTGCTTGTTCGGGCAGCTGTTTTTTTTGTCAACTGTTTGTTGGCAAGTAGAGCCTCTAATTTGTTTGTTGTGTTTCGCTGCGCTTTGTGTTTTTGCAGTTTGTTTTTTGTTTCGGGCTTTTCACTAACCCACTTGATTGTTTCTTGATTGTTTATTTTTTTTGCGCGGTTATATTTGGCCGTTTACTAGTCTGCTTGGTCGGGCTGCTGCTTTCTTAATGATTTTTGCGTAGGGTGTCTAATTTGCTTGTTGTGTGTGGCTGCCGTTTTGTTGCGCTAGCTGTGTTTTTTTCAGGCCCTAGCGTGGCCGGCTGGGTCGGCCTGCTGCTTTGGTAGGGCTTGTAATTTTTCTTTTTGTGTGTGGCCCCCGTTTTTTTGCGAAGCTTGTTTCTTTCAGGGCCTACTTGTCGGGCTGATCACTTGCGTGAAGTGGGGCGTCTTTCAGGAGGGCTCCTAATTTGCTTGTTGTGTGTGGGCGCCGTTTCTTTTGCGCAGCTGGAGTTTTTCAGGGTCTGCCATGGGCCTGCTTGGCTTTGGTCTCTTGCTGATGTTTGGGGCAAAACCCAGCAAAAGCGGATTTTTATGTATATTGGGGGGGGGTGCGGTAGGATTGTGGTCGCAGCTTAAATGTATATGTGGGGGTCCCCCCTCCCCCCTACATAGGGGTCCCTCGAATAAAGGTTGCTCGGACGCATGCTTGGCCGTTTGTTTAGACTTGCCATTTCCACGGTCCTTGTTTGTCCGGCTGGCCTGGTTGCCTCTACCCGCTGTTACATGTTGCCCCAACGCCTTCTTTTCTGTTTGCTTGGATTTGGAATTCCAGCGTTCCTGGTTCACAGGCAGTGCCAACTGTCGCTCCACCCTCTCTCAAGTTTGCATTGTGGGAATGGGCTTCACAAGACATCACCAAACAGACTATGCCTACGTTTAGCCTTCATCCTAAGGACGAACCTGTTGCTGGTGTGCGTTCCGCTCGGGCGGAGCTGGCACGTATGCAGCATGCCCTATGCACATGCCTGTCAGGGGATTCTCAGATGCACCATGCCCACTGTGCTGCCTACAGTGCTATGGCCTTGATTCATGTTACCCATGGGCCTTGCCAGGTTCATCAGCCATCTCAGGGACTGGGGCTGCCTAGCGGTGTGCCTCTCAGCTTCCGGGAGATGCGGAGGTTCCGTGAGGAGATGCGGGGGTAAGTGGTTGGCAAGGAATTGTTGGGAGAAAAAACAGGTCTTGTCGCCATGGAGGGTCATGAGCCATCCACGCTTGACTCGACAGTCGCTGGTTGCCTGAATTGATTGAAGAACAGAACCAAGACTGATTGGCTATGGGTCACATGTGGCCTTGGCTAACGGATGGATGCTGCTTGAAGCATCAGGTCTTTTCCTTAAACTTCTTGGCCATCGTGCCGCTGGCCAGCTGCCTAGCCTTCCTCTGGTTTGAGCAGAACAAGTTGCTTATGGCACGAGCCTGCACCTGTTCCTGTTTTTGAATGATAAGGACTCTGCCATGTTAGCCTTTCTGGTGCCTTGGTTGTTAGCCGGGGCCACTCTGGGAGCAGGCTGGGATACTGGGCGGCGCTACTGAAGCGCTTGCAGCAGGAAGCTGAGATTCAGGGAAGGGATTGGGTGCTTGTGTTGATGAAGAGGCCTGACGCGGTCTGCCATGCAACCTGCTTGTGCCTACTGTGGCCAGGGCTAAGTACATGCGAAGACTCCCTATCTTTATATGATAAGCACTACTTCTGGGTGGCCAAACCAATGACAGCCCTTTGCGTGGTCTGCCATGGGCAACAACGGCAGCATCTGCAACTTTACGCCATTTCCAAGGTGCACACCGGTCAGATGATCGGTGGCCTGCTAAATGCAACCTTCGGCAATGCTGTGCTCGGCCTAGCTCATGCCTGGGGAGGGGCCTCAGTTGAGGTCATTCAGTCACACTCTGTGCTGCCTGCTGCCTTGAGACAGACATATTTGGGGGTAGGGCTGCTGGGATCTGCTGCTGGGATGGGCAGTGATGGTGGCGGTGGTGGTGAGAGCAGCGGTGGCGTGAGTAGTGTTGCCTGCCGTGATGGTTTGCAGAAGTTAATTGGATTGTCGGCCGGGCATACAACTGGTGATGTGATGCTGGTGCAAGGTGGAAATGATTGTGACCGTGAACGCCATCAAAGCCGGCCTGGTAACAGTGGTGCAAGGCAGCTTAATCGGCCGAATGCCTAGCAAAGTTGTGCGCATTGCAAGTATGAGTGCCAGGCTGTTCAAAAGGCATGCCTCTTTTGTTGCAGTTCTCCACTAAGGCCCACTAAGGATTTGGGATTGGCAAACCCTCAGCCTTGAATTGAACAGCCCAGGAAAAGACACGAGACACCAGAGCTGGCACGTGCTTCCATGAGCTTGGCGTTTCGAGGTTCTGTGCTATCCAACTTGCTGCTGGTGCTAGGCCCGCCCTCCGGTTGTGGGCGAGACATGTGCACACTTGTGTAGTCGTTGAGCTCGGCCTCGGCATCATAATTTCCCTCCGCAGGAGGGGTTGCTTGCTCGCACGTGTGGTTCGCTCGGCTGCGCGTAGCTGTGTATGGCTCTTTGCCGATTTTTGATGCATGAATATGCATTGATGTTGACGGATTATGGGCAAGACACTCTGTGCAAGCATTAGCCGCGATCAAGGCCGGTTCTATAATAGCCTGGAATCGCTGGGAAATGCCAGCCCGTTCCTTGCGAAGCTGCGGTGCGGCTGAAGCTTAGGGGCTGGCTACTCCAATAACAACAAGTTGTTGCTCATTGCATTTGTTCTGCTTATTTTCTGGTGTGAGCGGATATTACGGAACTTGCGCGCAACGCCCTTGCATGTTTAAACAAGATAGGCGCTGCAAGAAGTCTTGCAAGCATTGGCAGGGAATACGTGATATTTGCGTTAACGAGACACGGAAACCCATGGCAAACCTCTCACGCTCCAAGCCTTTGTGCATGGTACCTGTCACGAGGCAGGATTTATTATTGGACATAAACGCTGTTGTTGCTGCAACACGTAGTTTTAGAAGGCATGTGTGCTTGTTTTGCGCGTGATAGAAAGTAGCTGCGAATTTGTTAATCACTTCGGAGATCTTAGGAGTATTGAGGCTTGGACCAAGTTCCCATGGTTTTTTTTTCCTAAGAACTGAAAAGACCCTTTTCACGCTGACCTCTCAGGCATGGCGTTCTTTGCCTCTGGAGTGGTTCGAAAGGACGGGGAGGGTGAGAGCAGCTTCAAGGCCTCAGGGCGAGCCATGCTGAAGTGTTTGCCCAGCGGGGTGTTTTCGTGTGCTGAAGGCCCGCTCTGCCAGTTTGGGCCCTATGTGGGTGTGGGTCAATATCAAATCACCAGGGGACCGCAGATTTTAGTCCATGTTTCTATTTACCAGGGTTCCATTTTGTACCTATTTTTGACCCACAGCCATGTATAAGGTTTGGCATTGAGCTTCCCTTTGCAGCAATACACTGCGGGGACTTCACGTGTGCCATTCTGCCAAGCATCTGCAACAGATGGGCCCAGGGTAGGTTGTTGATTGTGTGTGTTTTTTCCAGGGCTGCCAGCGATGACTGGGGCGTTTCAGCAAGCTCCAGGAAAATTGCTTCAATGAGATGGGCGCATCAGCGAATGTGATTTGCCTAGCGTCCGTGCCCAAGAAATATCTGGGAATATTTTGCAGCATGGGGCAGGATGCAATGGAGCCGGGCCGGAGAGGCGTTTTTCCCAGCGCCAGCTTCACTTTTTTTTGTTCTCCGTTGAAAAAGAAAACAACGGATAGGTCGCGTCCCAACAGTTGCCTTTTCAAGTGGCAGATGGCACATCGTGGGACCCTCGAGGTTGGGTGGACTGGCAGGGGCATCCACAAGAGCCAGCTAACCGTCCCCCTTCGTTTGCTAAGGTTGGGCTCTGTGGCACTCGTGCGGGGCTCGGGCAGGGCCTTGCCAGCTGCGCTCAGCGTCAAATGGTGCCTGTTGGGGCTCTCCCCATTTTAAGCAAGCCCATTTTGGAATAGAAACATGACCCCATGCTTGGATAAACAACTTCTCACCAGGATGCTTTTCCTTTACTTGAGATGCCCCAAAGGCCGGTTGCTGCCTTTCACGCACGGCCCACACAGATTGTCAGCTTACATGGCTGCTGAGAGGAGGCTAGTGAGCTGAACCTTCGAATAATCCCGCTTAATGCTCCGTGCCTTGCAAACAGCAGATTTGTTGTGACGCTCCAGGGGCTGAATCACTTCCAGCAGTCATTATGCGTTCCAACCTATCCCATGAGCTCTGCAATGCGTTCTGTTGTGCTAGTTGCGGGATCCAACTGGGGCGCTAACAGCCAGCTTAGGCCTTGCCCACAGTGTTCAACGGCCTGGAAAACACCAGCAAGCAGGAGCAGCTGCATGCACGCGTGCACGCGAATTGCCGCTTGGGCTTGGCGGGATCGATAGCTTCCGCTCCCAGGATGTGCTGGCGGTGTCGCGAGCATCTTCGGGAGTGGTGGCTGCTGCCCTCGCCTCATTCGATCGACATCAGTGTTTGAGTGCCTCGCAAGATCTTCCCCCCACATTCCCCGAACAATTTAAATATGGCTCTGGGTCAAAAATAGGTGGCCAAAATGGAACCCTGGTAAATGGAACCAAGGACTAAAACCTGCAGTCCCCTGGTGGTTTAATTTTGACCCATACTGGCCCATACCCATATGTCAAAATGTTCCTCACTGAGCCTGTGAGATCTACGTATGCTTCCTCGTTTTCCAGCTTGGCACCCACTCCGACATGTTCCTCGGTGGTGAAGATGAGGAAGAAGAGGCGTCTCGACTTAAGCCTGGTCGGAAATCCGGACCCTGACAGTAAACAAAACTATACTTGGCTCCGTGAATTCAGAGTTGCCATGCCAAATAGCATTTCCCTTGAAGCATGTTAAAATACACACACACACAACGTGACCGCGACTTCGTTTTTTCTTCTTTCTTCTTTCTTTCTTTTTTTTGTTCCGCTAACGGTTGGCTTTGCGGCTGCTTAGGTCACACTGTCCGCGCTGTGCGCGTTGCTAGTGCTGATCGGGGCCACTGTGCCCGCCTTACACGGATTGCAGTTGGATGGGTCACAAGAAGATTGGCACCCGCAAAGGCTGCTGATGATTGAGACAGTCATAGACATTCCCATTGGGCAGAGTCAGGGTCAGCTGCTTGAGAATGCCGAAGCGGCAATCCCACCGTTCATAAAGCTAACATTTGTTTGGCAAGAGTTTGTTGGAGAAATGTGGAGCTTCCTCTCCTTCCCCAAGAACGCAGGTTGTTCGGGGGTTGCACTAGAAACACGCGGCACGGATTGCCGCTAGGTTGCAGTTGCAGCCTGCTCGGAACTCCTAGTTGACTCCATCGAAGGTGTCACAGAGGACCGCGATTCGCGTCCTGCAAGAGTTCCAAGCTCGCATTTCAGGACTATGGGCTTCCGGAGGCTCCTGAGCTTTGCGTCATTTGGAAGACTTCTATCTAACCAGACCATACCAGACCAGAATCACTATGGTTTCAAGTTGGTCCCTGCTTTTGCAAGCTATCCGTGCAGGCCTTCATCGGAGTGATTCTGCTCCCGATTGTTGGAAATGCTGCTGAACATGCAACGGCTGCTTGACGGCAGTGACAGAATCCATGTAACTGCAGGACAGGCGCGCCTCAATGCAGATCCTTCCTTCCCAGACTTGCACAACTGTTCGTCGGTCGCACCCGCCTATGCGCATATGCACATACAATATATAGTTGTATGTGTATGTATATATATATATATATATAAATATATATATATATATATATATATATATATATTTACATATGTGTGTCTGTGTTTTCGGCGCGGCCTTGGCATTTGCTGAAGGCGGTCACGGTGGCGATCAAGGGCAAGATGGACACGTGCATTCGCATCCATGCCTTTGCACTCAAATGGATCCCACTGAACGTGTGCAATGCCAGCTTGTACTTTGGACGTGCATGTGTGTGTGTGTGTGTGTGTGCGCGTTCGGTTTATCAAAGCCAGTCATGGCTGCTTTGCGTGGACGTTGTTGCATGAGAATTGTTCACTCCGTAAATTGCGTTTCATGCAAGGATGCAAGAAATTATGATCTCAATTTGGGGTCTTCTTGAAGCTTAGCGAGAGGCACGCTTCGCCAGACTTTGGCTTGAAGGGGCCATGGTGCATGCAGAGCATGCCATGCGGTAGCGGCGGCAGCGAGCCCCATGCAGAGGGGCAGTGGCTTGTCCGAAGAAATTGTGGGAATCAAGTTTTGTTGGGCACATTTGGTGGAGATCAGTGCGGATTTATGTCCACCAATGTTTTTCTCAGGGTGTTCTGCATTTTCCACCATAGCCAATGTGTTTTGTTCACATTGTAACGGGCGGCGTAGATGCTGCTTTTGCTTTCCTGTCTGTGAACTACTCCCCCGGCTTTACACGCCGAGGATCTGTGAGTCGGGGCAATTCAGGACAGGGACCAGGAGTTGGTCACTCACGCAAGGCCCGCTAGCTGAATCTGAAGCACTCATGTTGCTGGCCCGCGTTTGCATACTTCCGGGCGCGTGATTTGAGTTGCTTTGGGGCTTGCGGCTGTTTGTGTTCTTTTCCGAGGGGTCTAGCCATAAACATGGAAGATGACAAGAAACCCTTGTGTGATGCGTATACTGTATTTGGTACTGCTTGCGGAGGCCGCTAGGTCTGCAACCTCTTCCTTGGCGCAGCCGCCGGCGCCAGCCCCACAGGACGAAGGGTTGAATCGTGATGCAGGCGGTCGGCAGAGACGAGTCCTTTTGGCGCGGTCCGTGAAGCATGTTAATGCTAGTGCATCCAAAGCGGAAATTCGACATAGCAAATAAAATGAGAAACATCCTCGTGCCACATCCTGTTCCTTCACGTCAACTGCTGCTTGCCGTGTTGCAGGGTGCCTTCTTGGGCATGTGGCGCACGCGGATTGAACTGTCTTTCTGTCAGGAGGAGGTGGTGGACGTGGTGCAGCCGAACGAAGAATTAGCCCAAAAAAGCTTCGAGCAGCAGCAGCTGGAGGAGCAAGAGCAGGTGTGGGCATACACCTTGTGATGTGGCATGGCGCCGGTTTGCATTCACCATCACCTGGACCACTCCTGTTGGTAGCAACAGTCCTTCCGGGTAGTTTCCTTGCTTGCCTTGCAGGCAGTGGGACAGCAAATCCTCAACTTCCTGCTCGGGATCAAGAGTTTGAAAGGACTGGGATGGCAAGCGGGTGCACTGCGCTTGCAAGCCGCCGGGTTGCAAGGTCGTTTGGGTAGAGGGTTCGAGCGTGTTTGCCAGCTGGTTGCCGGGCAGGCGTTGACCGCTCCGAGCTGGAAAGAGCACTTTTCGCCAAGCGCTTCGACCTGCTTTTTCCGCTGGGCGATGGGCGCAGGACTGGAAACCCAGGCCCAGCTAAGCCTGACTTTATTCCAGGTCGCATGTTTGAGCCGCCCGTCGCTTCTGCTTGACAATGTCAAGTTTCGACTGGGCTGAAGCCGAAAGGATGCCCCGGCAAAAAAACATGTGCGGCAGTTGTTCCACATCGTTGGTATAAGTCCCGCCCCTTTGTCATGGCGGATGGCAACGATACTGATTGATCACGGAAGAGGCAGGTGTTTACTGATGATAGCTGAGGGTTCAATCCGATGCAGGAGTTCAATCCGAAACTTGAATATAGATACCGCAAGAACACCTTAAAACGGCGAGTTGTCCCTGAGAAACGATGACCCCCCTAATTGACTAGATTACAGCAATGCGAAACAAGACGGATGGGTACTCGACCTCCAGACCAGACTCCTGCCAATGGTCTTGCCCGAATAGTTGTGACAGACCTTGCGGCTTGTTCAGGCTCGCACCAGTTGAGGTCTCAAACACAAATTAACCAACTGCCCAAGAGAGTACCATGGCTAGGCAAAGGTGAACCCTTGCTGAAGCGTAAGTCATGTACTGCAAAGACTGGTTGGCTCCACGCTTTTGCTTTGTTTCGCGCGGACAGGGCTAAAGTCAATTGTGCAGCCGTTTCAGGACGAGTGCACCACAGCTGCCACCATTACCACAGCTTCTTGGCGCAAACAACGGCCAAATACATGTGGCATCACATGCAGTGAAGAATGGAAGCGTTTGGGCGGAAGTACTGTGCTGCTGGAAACGCATGTTGCATGCTTGCATGCCCTTGCAGACAAACAAGCACCGTGTTTTATGGCGATGCAGTTGCTGGCATAAGCAGTTTGCGAGGTTTCACACAATACCGACGCAAAGGCTTCTCCAGGAATTCCTGATTTCAGGCGCGGGTGTGCAGAAGAAAGATGCAACTGAATAGGAAACAAGCACGTTGAACTGGCTGAAGCAAATGCAGCATCTTGCAGCAGCGACCTTGCAGGCAAAGTGCACGGAGGGCACCAGTCGGTGGCTCACGTCCTGTACCCGGAAGCTGTGCGCTGGCCTGGCCGAGCAGGCTGGGTGAGGCATGAGCTTGGTGCAAATCTGAACCCAAATGACCCAGAGCGGCAATAAGTTTTGCGCACAAGGGTTCACTTGTTTTGCAGATGTGCCCATGTTCAGCAAGCTCAGGCAGAGCCAGAGGGGCCGCTCGAAAAGTGGATGTTGGTGGATTGCTTTCCAAGGCGACCCAGGGAAGAAATTGCAAGTGTCAACCGGCAGAGATGAACTGTATTTTTGCCAGTGGCACTCTGCTGGGGGGGATTTCTCGGGCGTCTAAGGAAGCACTTTGCAGCGGTTCATATTTCACATTGGCAGCGCCAAGCATTGAGTTTTCGGAGTAGCTTGGCTGTGTTTCCTTTACAACCATGCCCACAGGGCCAGCGCAGTCCCTGTCCAGACGATGATGATGATGAGCCACGTCTGGGATTGGGCACATCAGGCAGGGAGGTTGAGAACTCGCTGTTTGCTTAGCGTGCGTTCAACAAGCTTTCATTTGGCTTGCCATCGTGTAAGATGGGACAGTTTGGAACGAGTGCACCTTGCCATCGGGGCTCATGGCCAGCTTGGGTTCCTTTGAGCTCAGTCCTGAAGTGAAAGGTATTTGTGGAGGGACTTCGTGTCACAATGATTCCTGGAGGTCACTTCCTAGCTCTTTAAATTGGGGGTTTTCGCTGGGAGGTCCTCAAGGGGGCCGTTGGTTTCCTCCAGTCTGTTGCGCGTCGCCAGGCTCCGAGGGCCAGGCCTCCGGGAGCTCCAAGAGGTCCAAGAAAGGCTTCCTGTGGGGCGGGTTCAGGGTCCAGCCGCTGGGCTGCACGCCAACCCTTGAGGTTCTGAGTCACCGGCTCAAAGGCAATCCCTGATTGATCCTTACGTTGATTACGAAAGTGCTTGTTTTTTTTTTGGGGGGGTAGTGGCTGCACTACAGGGATTACGGATTAGGAGCCCTCTGTTTTGAACAGCCCAGTCTGGAGCTAAGGGAGCTCGTGTGGTCGTTCATGACGTTCCCCCGCCCCAATTTTGAAGAGGCTGCGAAAGCAACACAGGCCAGTTGCCAGTTGTTGCAGGCTTGGGCATGCTGGCACTGGCTTGCCTTTCTTGGTCTGTCTTTGAGATGTGCTTCACTGATAGAATGCTGCCGCACTCATGTCAACGTCAAGGTCAACGTGGGACATTTGAGCAGGTATGGACAAGTTGTAGTTAAGTCATGTTAAGTCAATTTACTACATGGGTTGACGATTCGTTTACTCATGCTGCTAAAATATGCCAACAAAAATCATTGGGCCACTAATGTCGACGCGGCCTAGTTGTTCTTTTGACCATGGCTGACGTGCCCAAACCCAAACTTAGGAAGTCATTTGTCTTTGAAATATGCAGGTCGACAGGCTCAAGCGGCGATTATGTTGTCTTCAAGTTGTTAACGCAGCACGCAGGCCGCGAATCGCCAGTACCATCCAAGCAGCGCCTGTGTCCCGAGGCTACTTTGAAGCATGCAGGTTCAACAGTTGCCTCGTTTCTGGGCATTGATTGTTTGTGTTGACTCTCGCGTTCTCCACACGTTCCGGGCATGTATTTGATTGTTTGCGTTGTTTGTCGTGTTCGCTGCTCTAGGCCGACTTCGCCAAACCACAACCCCCCCAAACAAGCCAACACAAGTAAATGCGGGATATATGCTTTCCCCATGTCATGCAATGTTACATCATTCACGGGCAACCTAGGCAGAGACGCCGGAGGAGGTGCCTTGGCAGAACAGTTTGCAGTTGTATGAGAGCTCACGCCTGAAGGAAGCTGGATTGATAGCTACAACACCTTTGTATGCAGAGCGTGAGTCACTGAAGAACATGTGGAACGGGTCCCAGCCACTCAAGCGATGTAGCCCTTGCCGGTAGCCCACACGCAGCCACGACACGACTGACCTCGTTAAAGACCATTGCTGTCTCCATAAGGATGACGAGGTTCAGCGGGCAGAGAGCCGCTCGTCCAGAGGAGGGGGCACGCCAAACTTAGAAGCAAATCAGGTTTGCGAAGTGGGCTTGGCGGCTTGACCTGTCGCAAAGCTAAACAATCCCATGTATTTTGTGACAGCTCTCATCTGCGGACAACCCTTAGATAGTTTGGATTGGCCGGGGGTTCGGACTATCAGCCCCATAGCGTCAAGAGTGACCTGGGACAGGGGGGTCAAAAGGTCTGAGGTTCGCACAGCAAAGATGATGCCGCTGAGATTGTCCTGTGCGGCAAGCCAGCCGGGTCCCCGGGAGCCTGGGGAGGGTAGCAAGGTATGCACACGCAGCACAGGGGGCATGGCCGACAAACATCAGACACAGAGAGAAAGCTGTCACATGGCCATTATTCAGACGAGGCAAAAGGACAAAGGGACACACCGATGCACCGTTTGGGTACAGAGCTGTTAGTCATCCGCCTGAAGTCTGGCGCTTTGGGAAAAGGATT